CAAATGAGTACAAGTCACATACAGTATGTGAGGTTCATACTGCTATGCACGGCACTGTAATGAAGTACATGAAGTCATTTATAAGCAGAGCAAGAAATATCAATTTTACAGAAGTGCTCTCAAATCTTGTTCAAGCATCTAAACAAACCAATGAAATTGCTGTTCGAAACCAAAGACAGCTGCCCAGCGGCATGGTCAGTCAATGACTAAACAGAAATTTGAGTTGTTTTCTTTGAGTTAGTACTCAAACAGAGATGTTTGAGTACTAAGGCTCCCAATCAGGCTTCTAATGCCACATAATGTAATATTCTACAATAAATTCAAGAGAAAACACAAGTAAATATCCATCCATCCTTCCTCCCTTCTATCTTATGTTCAAAAGTCCATCTACTTTCATTATTTGGAAAAGAGCAGCCTGTACATTCTGCTAAATAACTCCTTTTGTGTTACATGAAAAGAATGTGTGACATGTGAGTAAATACATGGTGACATCCCTATAAAACAACTGCTAAACCAATCAAATTATTTTTTAAGGTGGATATTCAGAATCAGGAGCGTGTGGCACTAATGTGGCCAGTTCCCGTTCAGTTCAGTTTTCAGATCAGTAGTAAGATGCAGCATAGGAACGACGTCTCTTCACACACAACCTCCTCCCACTCCCGTCACAGTGGCTGATCATCTGTACAGCATGAGGAGGTGAGATAAGAATATCAATCTCATCTCTGTCGAGTGACTCACTGTGGGGAATGGTGCAAGAGGAAACATCTGGAGAAGGTCGCGCATCATCCCGTCTCCCATCGGCGCGGCTGACTGCAGACAGTCACAGGGCAAAGACGGTCAGAATCATCAGCATTTATCGGCATAATGAGATGGAACACTGCATGTCCTCAATTGATGCATGGTAAGCTGTATTACTGCTTAAATAAGTTGTCCTTCCAGGAAGGAGAAAGAAAATGAGGGAAAAGTAGAGTGTTGGGTTCTCACTAACAGCTGTGAGCAGCGGGAAGAAGGCGCTGCAGCCCTACTCCTGCGTTATGTCTTTATAGGGCGAGCATCTCAGACAGCTGATCAATAGATAAGTGGTGGAAAGACAGCTCTGGTCTTGAACATGGTCAGCTGTTTACTAGTCCGGAAGGGAGCAGGAACTCTAGTGATTGTGACAAGCCTCTCCGAGCCTGTAATACCTGAAAGTCTAAATAATGAATGAATACAGAGCGCTGCCCTGCTCTTTGACTCACAGCAGAAAGCTGCACTGGGGAAAGTGAGGATTGTTTGTTAAAGGTAGAGGACAGACAGCCAGAGACAGATTATCAAAGACACATAACAAGCCAAAGCTCACAAGCAACGTGGCATGTTAACAAAGATTCCTTACCTAGTCCCGCTCCAAACAATTTACTTAAAGAGAATACAACATCAAAGCCCACTCCAGACATGTGATCTGATCTGCTGCAAAATAATGCATTTGATGTGAAAATACTGAAATGTCAATTAAAGTGTTGATAGAGCACAACCTGATTTTTTAGGAAAATGTTTGCCAATCTTGAATTACGCTTTGAATGCTGTCAGCATGCCTCTCCGATCCATAAACTCCACTAATAAGGTTTTCAATACTTCTTTGACCAGTAGTTTCAACAAAAAGACACTCACTCTGCTTTTCTTATACTCCCTGACTTACTCTCCAGCCCTTAGAATAGAAAATCCCTAGGAATCAGAGAATAAAAAAATCTCACTGCTGGAGACAGACAATGGGCTGAACATCTAAAAAGAAAAAAACTGCTGCTTTAAGATCTCATTAAAAATAATTTACAAGGACAAAAACACATACAACAATGCCATTTAATTACATTTAATGTAAACACTGGGTGTTGATAGAAATGAGTGCAAAAGAGGTGATGCATGCAGCTGTTGAGTCTTGTGGATAAATTCTCTAGAGCAGTGTTTCCCAACCTTTTTTTAGTCGTGGCACCCTTTGGAAATTTTAACAAACTTGTGGCACCCTACAAAATTAATTTTGTCACAATATTTGAATTTCTAACTTCGATATGATAATTTGAAAAGTATAGATATTCGGTACAACAGGGAAGAACTGCAGAATATAATGTCATACAGATATTTGTAATATTATTAAAAAATTGTGTCCATCAATGGTGGCAATCAGTAGGCTAATTTCTAATGAAGAGACCAATTTATGACAGATTTTAATGTAGGCTTTTATACATATGTAAACATTATTTAATTACCATTATAACTAGCTATCTCACAAAGTTTTGCTCACACAGTGTTTTCTTTTATTTTACAGTGGGGTAATTTTGGTGCAGTAGCACGAGATTTCAAACTTTGAATTGAATAAAAAATGACAAGTAAGCAGTCAATAATAAAATAAGAACAAATAAAGAAATTAATAATGATAGCACAAATAAAAAATAACGACAGTCCTTCGAATTAAATAAATTGCTTCTTAGTTTCAGGTAGGTCTAACAGCAGGGTTAAGATATTTAACTTTTTTTTTTTAACTTTTTTTTTTGCCAATTATCCAAATAATGTTTAGTCCTAGAAAGCTATTATTATCAGAACACGTGAGCAGAACATAGCGGTTAGCAGATCAATGAATGAGAGGGCAGCACACCACACCATGTTACAGCACAGTAGGGCTATTGCAGACAGAAACAATCCTGTACTACATCGATGTTTCCTGTCGGCTCAATTTTTGAGTGGACTTTGCCGTTCCGATTCGCATGAACGGTATACGAGTGGAGCGACTGAGCGGAGTGCACACGCATAGAGCGGGATAATACGCAGAGCGTCACACCACGTGAAAGTGAAACCTGAGCAGTGAACTAATTCAGCAGCCGAAATTTCGGTGCATCTCTAATTATTGGCGACATCAGAAATGGATATTATATAATAGCTGCTTTTTTAAAATTCATTTTAGTAATTTAAAAATATTAAAAAAGGACTTTTTACAAGGCACCCCTGCTCTCGACAGACGGCACCCCAGTTGAGAAACACTGCTCAAGAGTCTAGAGAAGCATAATGTGGACAGAATTTCAGCACAATTGCATGTTAAGGCTTCCCAGTTGTGCATTAAAACGTTTATTCTCACATTAATACTGATTCATTTATAATGATAATAATTTTTTGCACACACGTAACGTGGATGCCACAAATAGTGAAAGGTTATTTTAAACAAAAATGTAATGTAACACATGCAAAGTGGAAGTCTCTCAACTCTCTGTTTCAAAAGGCTCATTTAAAATTGTTAGCGTTTTCGGGGGTTTCAGCCCAGAGTATCCTGAAGTTTACATTTTTGACACTATTCAGATTAAATAAAGAGCACGTGGAGAGTTGTCCTGCAACACCAAGGTTATGGGTTCGATTCCCAAGGAATGCATGAACTGATGAAATGTTATATTGAATGCTTTGTCACTTCGCATGAAAGCTTCTGCCAAATGCATGAAAGTGTAAAGAAAAAATGTCGTCTTCTCTAAAGTTTCAGTATCAGAACAGTTTAAACCAATAAATGTGCTCAGATATATCAAGATAGCAAAGACTGCATTCAAAATTCTGAGATTTCAATATGAACTCCAACATTTCCCATCAAACCCTTCTGAGAACTCCATTAAGTCTTCTGAGCTATAAGAGCTTTTAAAACCTGAGCTAGAAATAAACCTGAATGAATTAATAATGATTAATTCCCTTACAACTAAGTAAATTATTACAGCATCCTCAGAGCGACACAATTTTCATCAGGGTCTCTCTCAAACTCAAACTCAAACACATTCACACGCACAAATCCACTGTGGCTTTGGTGGTGACTTTCTACTATACTTATGAAAAAATCTCAGTCTCCACACCTTTGCAGTGTGGGCCGCTTCAAAAACTGCCACCTGCACAGCCTCTCTGCCAAGACCACAGAGCGGTCGTTTGCAAAATGTTAACAGTGAGAGTTCATCTCCCCAAAATATTGGAAGGGGCATTAGCCAAGGCAAACTCTGCCTTTAGCAAAGGGGTATTTTGAGTCCTGTTAAACAGTGGGTCCATAAAAGTTGTTAGTAGGCACTTAACCATCTGTACCACACAGCAGCAAAAGAATGCATTTTAATATTTTTCACGCACACTGCCTCATCTGCATACTGACCTCTATAACCCAGTGTGTCCTCTGCAGCCCATTCCAGCCCACACAGCACATTTATAATATGATTTCCCTTTAAAGCAAGACCCATCTGGGAACAAGCTGTCGCAAATGTACTCATAGACGAATGTGCCTTCCTTATGCTATTCTTTCGTTTTCTGCAGATGCGGTGATGTCTAATTCAGACTCAAACAATGCTCTTACTCGTGCATAAAGCACATCATTAATGACCAAATACACATTTCTATCACCAATATCGAAAAATATGCGACCCATATGTGTGCTTTAGCGAGATAAAGACTGGTAGACAGCGTTTAACACACTTCTACAAACTGTCCCAACTAGCTGACAGTGAAAGGAGGAGAGGAGAGGAGAGATCACAAAAAGATAGTCTGCGCTAATGGGCATGTTTTTCTGCAAAGAGCAATCAGGAACAGTATTTACATGGACACTTGTTAGCATCTTTGTGCTGTCTCGCTGTGAGAGATGAACTATTTAAAGGATGAGGAGATTGTGTTTGTTCATATTTTAGCTTCGAGGCTAAAGTACATTCGGTAAACTGCACTTAATGAAGAGGCATGCATTAACCGGTGAAATGGTAATGAGTAGAATGTTAATCGTGCTGAAAATGCTAAATGTTTCTCTAGGCGGCTTAAATATATTCCGTTGGGGATATTTCAGGCATTCAATAAAAACAGATGTGTTAAAGGCCCTAAATGAAACAGTTTACATGAGCGATTATCTGAATCATGATGCCTGCGATCATAGACCCTAATGATTCTCATTACTCGCTTCTCACTGATGATCCACCATATGGTGGTGGAAGCCCACAGAGATACTATTTCCCTACTGGGACCGCACATCTCACCTGATTCTTCAGGTCTAGTTTGGGGCATGGCCGCCCGCCATTGAACGGCTTCTCCCGTAGCCATTTGGATCTGATTTTCAGCCCGCTGCCACAGGAGGCGCTGCAGGCCGACCACGGCGACCAGTCGCTCAGCTTGCAGTCCAGAGGGCAGGGTATGTGGCAGACCTCCTTCACCAGACCTGCGAAAGAGCATGTAGAGCAATCAAGAGCGGCCGAGCCCCTGCCATTCAACATCACGCTAACAACGTTAATGGAAGCACCTGGTGCCGATGCTGAGACCTCCGTCTAATTTACACTGACAGTTCAGGGCACACCACAGCTTCCTATATGACTAATGACTCCTTGCCTTCCCAGCGGAGGAAAAATTACTTGGCTCTTTACTGAGAGAGAGAACGAGAGAAAAAGGAGGTGGAAATGAGTAGACGAACCAGATTCACTGCAGCGGTCTGGGCTAACCAGGTGGGCTCCGTGGTCCAGACAGACCACAGTACGATAACGCAATCCCTGACCGCAGTCACGCGCCTCTTGCTGACCCCTCCATCCCTGGAGGGATCCTTGTGCTGGGGTCTCCGATAGGATACAAGACGTCCAATTACCACATGGCTGAGAAACAAACTCCTCACACGGACAGGGCTCAGACTCCACCAGAGGGTACAAGTCTTTCCGCTGACAGCGGTCTTGTTTCCGGCTCCAACCTAAAAATGGTGAGAAAATAGATGAAGAGCCAGAAATAAAGATGGAAGAACAGAGAGGGATCAATAAATAACAGAGACTAGTCATTTGAATTTTAGGTGCCATTTGGATGAAACATTCAGAATGCACTCTGGGAGCTCGTGTGTGATATACTCATCTGTCTTTGAAAATTATTAAAACATTAATGATGTCTGGATAACTGGACCATTATTCATTCTGCTGGCAACTGTGGACTGCTAAGTGCCACTGCAAACATCCCCAGGGAACGATTAGAGAACTGTTCTGAGTAGACTGAAATGGAAACGCTTAGTGACGAGAGCAAGAGGCACAGAATAAACATGCTGTCTGAAATGTCTGTCTCGCCATTGAAAGTCCATTCACCAAAAACTGTGACAATCAAATTTTGAACTTGGCTGTTTAACATATAAACACTGATCAAGGCATAAAGCATAAAGGCATAAAGCTCATCAAAAATGTTAAACAGAAGCTGAACCTTAAATGCTTGACATGCAAGAACTTCACTGGTTCTTGCTGAAGCTCAAACGTGCTTGCATGACACTTTCAAAGGAGGGACAGAAATCTCTCAGGTTTCATTAAAATATCTTTATTTATGTTTTGAAGATGAAAGAAAGTCTCATGGGTTTGGAACAACATGAGGGTGAGTAAAAGATGAACATTTTCATTTTTAGGTGAACAAATAACCCTTTAACTTTTACGTTGTTTTATAATAAGTGTCAAACTAACCCGCTAGTTTGTTTTAAATATTTAGTACAAAGGTAAGCATGGGGTAACATACCGCATAACTCAAGATTATGAGCAATTACTTTTTTCATTAAAAAAAAAGATGGGTTAAGTCCCAATCAAACCCACCCCTCTCTCACTCCTGTCTATTCTCACGTGTTTCACTGATGAAAAATAAAAATACATAAATAAGAAATTAAAAATTCAACATCTAAACAAGATGAAAGTTAAGAAGAGCAATAACTTGACAATATTTAGCAAATCATTGAAGCACATTTATTTCTTTTTTCTTTTTTCTTGGGGGGTCCAAGTCTTAGGAGCGTGGGACTGAAAACTAAAACAACCAAAGGTGTCTTCCCTTCTCTCTCCAACATTCTTTATTTTTAAACATACAAACATAGACCCGGAGCACTCACATGTTCAGTGGACCATATACATCTAATTTACCTAATGAGGAGAGAAATTAATAGATTTCACATCATAAAGGCTTCTGTTTAAGAGGCTATTAGTTCCTCTTTGCACACTTCACTTCCTGGAACATTTCAAATTAGTCATGTCCATTAGACATGATGAATATTATTAGGTTATATAAATAAAATGATCTGTCCATGAGGAGAGATGCTCCTTTTTAGACGTGCTGTCACTGACACTTCAGACCAGCATTCAACAGGGTCCTCAAACCTGTCAAGCATAATTCCATCAGCCTGTCAAACCTGTGGGCCGCACCGGACAATTATACATGGTCAAGCTGAAGAGCTGTGAAATATGATGCTTTGATGTACTGGATTCAGAAGCTTTTTGCGTTTTGTTGTTTGATTGAAGGATGCTGCTGTGTTGCATTAATGAGATCGGTGTGGTTTTGCTGACAGCTAAAGTTTTTAAGATAATGCTGATGAAAGAGCATCGTCAATCATAATGCAATACTCAGTTGATTCAGTCAGTCTCTGGTTGAGTCAAAAGCTAAATTAGACTGTCTCAGAGAATATAGGATTAGACAGCTTTGCTCTTGTGTTTCAAATTAGCTGCACAGAGGGTCAACCAAGAAAATCAGAAGTACTTGTTGCTGGGATTTACATGTATCGGCTTATAGTGTATGCAAAATTGATTTATTTTTCATATATCTAAGGATACAGATTCAAGTATTTCAAATTTGTACAATAATGAACAAATATCATATGTGACCCTGGACCACAAAACCAGTCAATTTTTCCAATTTGAGATTTATACATAATCTGAAAGCTGAATAAATAAGCTTTCCATTGATGTTTGGTTTGTTAGGACAGGACAATATTTGGCCGAGATACAACTATTTGAATATCTGGAATCTGAGGGTGCAAAAAAAATCTAAATATTGAGAAAATCACCTTTAAATTTGTCCAAATGAAGTTCTTAGCAATGCATATTACTAATTAAAAATTAAGTTTTAAGATATGTACAGTAGGAAATTTACAAAATATATTCATGGAACATGATCTTTACTTAATATCCTAATGATTTTTGGCATAATAGAAAAATCAATAATTTTGACCCATACAATGTATTTTTGGCTATTGCTACAAATATACCCCAGCGACTTAAGGCTGGTTTTGTGATCCAGGGTCACATATGTGCAAGTGTTTATGACTTTCTTTTATGCAACTGTTTAATAGTTCAATATATAGTTACAGGATAAGTTTGGTAATTTTCAACCAACGTTGTATTGCATTGTTAGTATATGAAAACAAACAATGTGTATTCTTTCTCCATGTTACCAGCACTCAGATATCCCTGTTTATTTGTCAGCAAAAGTTTGCGGGATGATGCAAAATGTGTCATTTTGAATCATCCAGCAGACTTTTGACAGCTCCAGGGGTTTTGTTAAAAGTACAAATCGAAGTCATGGATTTTTGAATTTCCGCCTGTAGACAGTTGGATCCAAAACTAAAAGAACATTATATGTGTTGACATTTTTGGCAAATGGAAGGCCACAGAACTTTTCTGTTTTGCCTACATAGCACTGATTCAAAAAAAAAAAACTGCATATACAAGTTTGCCTGTAGTGAATTCCCCCTTTATTAATGAGCAGAATTACATTTTAGACACAATATTGCCATTGAAAACAGTTCCAAATGAAGCCAAAGTAGAACTGTTGACTGCAGTGGTGGACAGTAACACAGTAGTTTTACTTCATCACTGTACTGAAGAACATTTTTGAAGTATCTGTACTTTGTCTGAGTATTTTCATTTTGAGAAACTTTTACTTCACTACATTCCAAAGCATAATATCAGACTTTTCACACTTCACACACAACATAAAAGTATCTAAGTTAAAATGACTAATTACACATTGATCGATCAGTACTTTTTACTTTTAATACTTAAGTACATTAAAAATCCAATACATTTGTACTGTTAGAGTACTTAAAACGTCTACTGGAGTAATATTTCATTGGGGTATCAATGAATCAATTTGAATCAATCAAATACTTTTACTCAAGTACTTGATATGTGTACTTCATCCACTACTGCTTGAGGGTCCCTGCAGCAACGCACAACAGAGCTGAACCTGAATCAATCTGTATAGAATAAATCCTGTTTATGAATGAATCGGTTGAACAAATAATTAAATGGCTCACTCAAAAAAACAGTCACTTGTTTTATTTCTGAATGAATCAGTGTGGTATCAGAGGCATCGTAATCCAGCTTTGGTCTTTAAACTGTTTTTATTGAACAGCCTACACTCTCTTGACCGCAACTGCTCGGTCCACAATACACCTCTCTCCACTATCCTGTCAGATCCGAGGTAAACACTTGACGCCTGACAATTCACGGGCATTGGCGTGCTTCTCGTGACATCATCATTTACAACGAGTTTTTCAGTTTGGTTCCGTACACACTGCATAGAATTTCTGTAAATGCGGTTGTCACTATCTGTATTTTTCGGAAGTTAATGCGGTTGTCGATTGCGGTTGTCACTCTCATATTTTAGTGAATTATGTGTGTACAGAACGCGATTAAGGAGTAAAAGGTGAACTGGCAACCGAATTTAGCTGGAGTGTGTACCTGGCCTCTGTCTCACAGCAGGCCTCAATACACAGTATAGAGAGAGAGAGTGAGTGAGATGGACACAGTGACAGAGGTAGAGGCAAAGAGAAACTCACACTCTCGCTGGTGTCCAGAAGCTTCCTGAGAAGTGTTTGCCAGCCGCCACCTGTTTTTGGTGTACAGAGGCGGTCAGTGATGGAAAACAGCTCTAACAGTGTGAAATCTCTGTCAGTACACTGCAGCCTCACTGACAATCTGCTCTCTGCTTTCACTGCATTCATGAGAGTATGTGCACATGTATATAAAACACACACACACACATCCCACCCAAAGGCCAACTTCAGAAGGAGTGAGCCTTGACCCCCAAAGGAGAGGGGAGATCAGAGGACTCGAGGCTATGGAATAGCATCCTGATCCACCGCTTAGCATAAGCTTCTCTGACCAGAGGCCTCAGCCTCAGCGCACCGTGGAGGAAACGTGTAACTAGGGGGTGTCTGCCCACTGACTGGCCACCGATAGGGGCGGGTCGCAATTGGTAGGCCGCAACAGCCGCCGCGTAGATTTTGAAGGTGGAGTGGGTTGTAACGGTCTAAACGTTACCTGCTTTATATTATTGTAATTTTCACTGGTTAGTGCAGCACTGATTCAAAAAAAAAAAACTGCATATACAAGTTTGCCTGTAGTGAATTCCCCCTTTATTAATGAGCAGAATTACATTTTAGACACAATATTGCCATTGAAAACAGTTCCAAATGAAGCCAAAGTAGAACTGTTGACTGCAGTGGTGGACAGTAACACAGTAGTTTTACTTCATCACTGTACTGAAGAACATTTTTGAAGTATCTGTACTTTGTCTGAGTATTTTCATTTTGAGAAACTTTTACTTCACTACATTCCAAAGCATAATATCAGACTTTTCACACTTCACACACAACATAAAAGTATCTAAGTTAAAATGACTAATTACACATTGATCGATCAGTACTTTTTACTTTTAATACTTAAGTACATTAAAAATCCAATACATTTGTACTGTTAGAGTACTTAAAACGTCTACTGGAGTAATATTTCATTGGGGTATCAATGAATCAATTTGAATCAATCAAATACTTTTACTCAAGTACTTGATATGTGTACTTCATCCACTACTGCTTGAGGGTCCCTGCAGCAACGCACAACAGAGCTGAACCTGAATCAATCTGTATAGAATAAATCCTGTTTATGAATGAATCGGTTG